AATATTTTTTTCACCTTACAACACAGGTTGGTGTTATCATATACAGATTGCAATTATCGTCCGATAATACCAAAGTGTGGATCTATACACGCAATATCTCGCCACACGAAGTAGGACCCGTTATGGTCTACAAATACCTTAATGACATACCGCGTTTGAAGCGTCAGTCCAAGCTGATTTTTACCATGAACCAGTACACGCGCTCTGAAATAGTTGAAATTTACATTCAACGGAAGAAGTCAATTGTGAAAACTCAACGTGCTTTTAAAACATTAAAAAATGTGAGAAGTGCGCCTTCTAAGAACACCATTAAGCGTTTATACGAAAAATTTTCGACTGGTAAGGCTCTTTCTAATCCGAAGAGGCCATATAAAAGTCGACCAAGGCGATCGGCCGAGAATATCGCTGCCTTACAAGCCAGTGTTGAGAGGTCCCCAAGAACATCCCAAAAACGCCGTTCTCAGCTGTTGGGCATGGCTCGGTCCACTTTACAACGGATTATTCGCATTGATTTGCATTTGTCCCCGTACAAAATTCAATTGACGCAAAGAATGTTGCCTGTGGACAAGCCGCTGAATAGATTTTCCTGAAAATTTCCATATATACTGCAACATTGCCTGAAAGTAACATAGGCTATATACATTTTTGAATTTCCACTTGGAACTGGAAATATAGCATCAGAGACGGAGGTACCTCGCAAAAATTTAGATTTTATATGCACATATCTATTGATTGGTTGAAGATACAGTCTCCAAATTTGGAATACGTAACGGAATTTGGAACAAAAATAAGTTTGCCAAATTATATTGTAATCGGTTCAGATTTGGATATAGTTCCCATATATATTTTCGACCGATTTCGTTCAGTTGATGCCTCAAACACAATATGAATGTTCGATTCCAATGAAATTTGGAATGTGTGACGGGATTTAATCCGAAATTAAATTTGTCAAAATATATTGAAATCGGTTCTGATTTGGATATAGCTCCCATATATATTTTCGGCCGATTTCAAGCATTTGGTGCACCAAACACGCTATGTATCCCCAATTTCAATGAAATTTGGAATGTGTAGCGGAAATTAAAACAAATATACATTTGTCAAATTATATTAAAATCGGTTTAGATTTGGATATAGCTCCCATATATATTTTCGATCGATTTCGTTCATTTGATGCCTCAAACACAATATGAATGTTCGATTCCAATGAAAGTTGGAATGTGTGACGGGATTTAATCCTCCCATATATATTTTCGACCGATTTCATGTATTTGATGTACCAAACACGCTATGTATCTCTAATTTCAATGAAATTTGGAATGTGTAGCGAAAATTAAAACAAATATACATTTGTCAAATTATATTAAAATCGGTTTAGATTTGGTTATAGCTCTCATATATATTTTCGACCGATTTCATGTATTTAATGCACCATACACGATATGTATGTTCGATTCCAAAGAAATTTGGAATATGTAACGGGATTTTGATTAGAAAATAAATTAGTCAAATTATATTAAAATCGGTTCAGATTTGGATATAGCTCCCATATATTTTCCGCCGATTTCACATATTTGATGCACAAAACACGATACGTATTTCCGATTCCAATGAAATTTGGTACAAAAATAAATTTGACAAATTATATTCAAATACGCTCAGATTTGATTATAGCTCCCATATATATACTCAGCCGATTTCACATATTTGATGCACCCAAAGCGAGAGAGACAAAATCTGGCACCAGAAAAAATTGCCAAATTATATTGAAATCAGTTGAGGTTTGGATATAGCTAACATACATCCAAACATGATATATATGACCGATACCAACGAAATTCAGAATGTGTGGCGGAATTTGGTTACAATAATAAATGTGACAAATTAATTGGAAATTAGTTAAGATTTGGATATAGCTCCCATATATATATTATCGGCCGATTTAACATATTTGACGCACCAATTTCAATGAAATATGAAAGGTGTGGCGGAGTTTGGTGTAAAAGTATTTTTTTTTTTAAATTATATTTAAATCGGACCAGCGAAGTATGTTGCTATCTCGAATTCACTAATTGCAATAGAAATGCCATTCAACTTCAAAAGATTGCAGTTTACTGCACGCTTGGTATTTGCTATGAAATAAATAAATCCGAAGGACAAACCCTTCGTGTATGTATGTCATGTTACTGCTTTTCTAATGGTTTTGGTTATTTATGCATTAAAGTAGTGCAATATTTTTTTTTAATTTTTAAATTTGTTTTTTTTTTTTTAACCAACATATATTCGAAATTAAAATTTTGAATGCATATAAAATGAAAAGGGGTAGCGAAGCGCACCGGGTTCAGCTAGTATATATATATATATATATATATATATATATATATATATATATATATATATATATATATATATATATATATATATATATATATATATATATATATATATATATATATATATATATATATATATATATATATATATATATATATATAAGAGAAATTAAAGGGCAGGGAAGAAGTCTAGCATTTTGAATGATCATTGGATCATATTTAGCTTTAAAATGAACAACAACAACTAACAGCACGACGGAACAGCCTTAGAGTAGTCACAATTTGGGAATTATATCCAACTCTGAATTGCTTTTCAACAATCTTGACGATATACCAGACCGAGACCCAATCTACCCAATTTGTTCTGATATTACATATATTGTGGACAATAACCGTAAATTCGGATGGACATGCATAAATCGACTCAGAATGATTGTATGCAGATCATCAAAAGGAAGTATGGGTCTATCTCGATTCCTTCTTCATGTTACAAACAAATGCACAAAGACATAATACCCTTACCACTATGTGGTGTAAGGTAAAATTATAGAAATATATTATTTCGAAATCGCCGAAAAATTACGAAAAACGCGGAGAAAAGAAACAGATATGATATACATGGTCTCAAAATTATATTCCAGAGCATTTCCATGTACATAGAATCGTTAAAAATCAGAGAAGATTATATAAAAGTGTCAGCTCTGTTATGATATAACATAATGCTATGTCACAATTGTAAGCTATTGCGAGTCTTAAATACAAAATTTTGCATCATTTCGTGGGTGAGTGTGTCTGGGATGACTAGGACCAATATGAACTACGTTTTGACAATCTATTAAAAAATGTGAACCGTTATATGTGCGCTATAGGAAAACGTGGACCTAGATATTCAATGTTCTGCCACCGGAGCTAGAACCCATTCTGAGCTACAAATACCAAGACCTAGAACCCATTACGAACTACAAATACCCTTTTTTAGACAAATCATGTGGCAAATATCATAAAAATACCGAATATCGTTAGGTACTCTTATATGGGGGCTATACGAAATCGCGAACAATGTACCACCATAATATTTTAGACATATTGGTGGAAATATGTGGCTAAAGCTATCAAAAATCGAATATCCGGAGGTATAGTTATATGGGGACTATTCCAAAACGTGGGCCGATATATCTCATTTTCAATACCAACCATCCTAGATACAATACAAATTATTTTGCCATATTTTGAAGTTCTACCTCAAATAATGTGGGCTTTATCGTGATTTCAACAAACAGTCAGACGGACATCGTTAAATCGACTTAGAATTTATGCTGATCATGAATATATTTACTTTATGGAGTCTATTACGAATATTTGGAGGTGTTACAAACGAAATGACAAATTTAATATACCCTCCTTTCTAAGGTAGAGGGTGTAAAAAGGCATTTTGTGCAAGAATTTAATTATTTTGAAACGTTAATAAACGTTTTAATCATTTAGGGCATATGCATTTATTTATACGTTTAAACTAAACTTTTTATTAAAATGTTCTCACTGCACTGGGGCACGACAGTTTTGTGTTCATTACTTTGCGCCTCAATTACGGAAGCAATCGAAACTCCCGACTGTGTGTAAAAATTAACAAAATTATTTTTTTTTTTCTTAAAAAAAACTCTTTTATATCACAATTTCCATTTTTTGTTTAGGCTGAATAATGAGAAAAACCCATGGTATAATTATTACAGGTAACAGCAAGTCCCAGCTGATTTGATTCTATAGTAATACTAGTGTCAAACTCGATATGACGTTTTGTGATTTAATTCTTGATACACAATTGATATAAAATTTCACTGCAGGGCAATGTGAACATATTTTTTGCCTAATAATATAAAAAAATCGCCGTTGTACTTAACAAAATGCCAGAGGCAATGGTTCGGAACCTTTTTTTGCGGTTAAGGAACAGCGACACTACGCTAGATAATATATTCGTATATTTCATGTTTCCTAAAATTGCAAAATGTAGAATTCTTTATATATGTATGCTGTTTGGTTTCAACTTCAAAGGGATGTTGCCTTTTCCACGATTTTCTAGCGATTGCTTGAAGTGTTGAGAGATTAGGACCAACAGCTAAAAACTATACATTCAGGGGAATGATGTGAAAGCATTAATATTTAATAATTTAAAAACTATTCTTCTGCATTTTCAATTTAATAATCCAAATTCCAAAAATTGTGTATTTTCTAAATTAAAATAATTTATTGAAAATTAATTATTTTGTTTACATTTTTGGACACATAACCTTGACACTTGTATTACGTACAAAAACTAAATTGGATGTGGTTGTTGTTACGATTGTTGTACAACAACACTTGCTGTTACCTGTATCATTCTACCATAAGAAAAAAAAAAAAAAAAAAAAAAAATAATAATAATAAATAAAACGATCTATTTTGAATTTCGAAATTCAAACGATTTCGATTCGATTCTGTGACATGCCTGATATTTTTGATTAAAAACGATGTCTCTCTGTCTATTGAAAATACGATGTTGCTGAAGATTTGGAATTTGGCACAATAGTTTGTATTGTGTCTAAACGGTTTTTATTGAAAATAAGGATAAGAGAGATTAAATAGGGAAATAAAACAATTATTATTTTATTATTTTTTTATTTTTAAACAATTATTTTATTATTTTTAAACAATTCATGTCATTTGTTTATTGTGATTAAAGATTCTGATTAATTTGTCTAAGCACCTTAAAATTAGAATATAGTAAATCCTTAACCTGCAAGGAGTTAAACAAGATAAACATACATACAATGTTAAGTTAACATATAACATACTATATATTAACAAAATAAGGGATAAACTTTTCATTAGTTGCTTCAACATCCTCTGTGTAGATTTGATCAGTTTTGAGAGAACGACAACAATGTTTACATTCATATTTGTATTACCATATATTGATATACGTAAACATAACCTAGGTTAAATACAATTACATACTGGGTTCATATTCATATATTCAAAACAGTAGAGTCACCGGCCTGTGAAGATATATATCAGTATGCATTCGCAACACCACCACAATTAAATCTTCTATCACACATTTTAAATGTTTTTTTGTTACCAATTGCAATATGTTTGTCTTGCTGTGTAGATCGGAAATTTGCATTTATTTTCAAAACAAAACGTCACTAACAAAACCTTGAGTTTTTACAAAAGCTTCGTTCTTATTTGATTTGATGTCAATATTGTATCGCCTTTGTAATGCTTAAGGGTTCCATGCACAATTCGACTGTTAATTGATTGGAGCTGATTACAAATTGTATTCTGCTTTTTTTTAGCCTAACCGATGTTATTGATATTTAAACGTATGCCCACGTCCTGGCAAGATATCAAATTTACATTACAGAAAGATCTAGTCACAGACATTTTGCGTGGACCAAAATGTTTTGTTTGCAGCAGGTGCAATATTAAAAGTTTGTACTCGAAGTATACAATTTACTAATTTACTTTTACAAAAATATCAATGTAATAGAAATTGGTACACGTTCAGTTTGTAATTGCTTAAAATACACTTCACAAAACTATTGACAGAAATTCCTATTCGATTTAACCATACCGATATCATGCAAAAATGTATCTCATACCCGTATCTATCTATCTTTACCATGCAATTCGAGACATGAATGTATTTGTAATTATTTCGTCAATGCAATGGGTAAACTCCTAACAAAGAGATTTAAGTATAGGGCCACAATTTTTGTACAGTTTCCAAGTGGTATGCTCGATAATTTGAATGAAGTTGCGATTGTAGATGGATCTTGTGCGAATCTCGGCATCATTATTTCCAAATCATGGTGAAAGGTAACTGAGTACGAAGTGGACGTTTTCGATTGTTAAAGTCTGTATAAGGCAAGGAATTTTGTAATGTAGCGTCAAAATAATTATATGAAAAATAAAACGTTGCTTGGCATATTTAGGAATTTGCTCCAAGATGTTATATAGATGTCCGCAAAATATTGAGGGATTGAAATGATCCAAAAACATTTTCCCACTTTTTAAGCCGTTCCACAGGAAACTGTTAAAAAATTTCGACGTGTAAATTTGCATGGGATCAGAGACAGGGAAGAAATCATAGGATTTAGCAAGGGAATTCTTTTTTATCCTTTTGCAATATTAAATATATTAGAACAAAATTTAAAAAATATATTTCCAAAGAATTTAGCTAACAAAAAAATAATATAAACAATATGATTGTACCTTATTTAATAAACCTCGAACTGTATTATAATTTGTTTTAACTTTTTTTATTAATTTAAAGAAAGTTTCTTAATTGCATTTTTATATTATTTAGCGCATCCTTTTATGACTTGGACACCATATTAAATTGGGATCTATACGTGGATATATTTAAAAGTTATCAAACACTGAAAGAAAATTCGGAGAGCATGCCGGAAAACTTTGAATATTAAAATGTCAAAAGAACTTTTGAACCACATTAACATGACACCGATGATGTGTGTAAATTTTGCGTATGGGTCTTATTTGCAAATGTTGACAATTCATTGTCCTTAAATGTTTGGGTGGTGACAATTTGCATACATAAATATATAATATATATGTACATAAAAATATAAGGTATACATACATTTTGAAAATGTCATCCATTTTCTCCACAGTACAATCGAAGCTTAATTCCGCATGCCTACACAGTCTCTACATTTTCATGTTATATGAAAAAGGGATTTATTTGTTTATTTCCCTTTCGAGACGACCCTAATGATCTAATTCGAACAATTTTCCAATCATTTCAATTTTATGGCACTTATGAAGGTAATGGACAGCATTTACCTTTGCAAATAATCCTTTCTATGACAAAACATTTAACTGTATGTAAACATATGTGAATATGAATAGTATTTGATTGTGATATAATTTTTATGTCTGCTTTGGTCAGTCATTTCGCCGGTTGTAAAACGACTACATTTAATTTGTTTTTTCTTTGTGGACACTTGATTTTTGCGTTTTTTTTTTTTTTTTTTTTTTGAAATTTAAATAGAAAATAGGAAAAGTGCACAAATTTAACTGTATGTAAACATATGTGAATATGAATTGTATTTGATTGTGATTTAGTTTTTATGTCTGCTTTGGTCAGTCATTTCGCTGGTAGTAAAACGTCTACATATTATTGTTTTTATTTTGCTTTGTGGAAACTTGATTTTTGTGTGTTTTTAGAATATAAATAGAAAATAGGAAAAGTGTACATTGTGTTTCATTATGGTGGACTACTTACAAAAAACTGTAACTGGGAGCTGTATAAGCTGTAAAGATAACGTAGATAAACGACCTATGTATAATCAGTAAGTTGTAAATAATTCATTTAAAGATTACAAAGCAAAATAACTTATTTTATTCATTACCAAACAATGAATACCATCACCACTCTAAAACCGAAGGTTGAGAGTTCGAGTCTCGGCGTCGACGATGTGGCCGTAAGACTTTAAACAAGCCTTTATTCTCACAACAGTGATACAGAGTGTTTAACTACAATAATTCGGGTTAGTGCCAGTAGCGGAAAACAAAAAAGTGGACTAACTAAAACTAAAAGAAATACTTTTTTTCAGTGGTGTGCCCTTGAAAATATTTAATAGAAAGTAGGCTTATTTGTAAGTAGTTATGGCTGCCAAAATTGGTTAGCAAATTCATTATTTGGCAACAGAAGTTTTTGCAGGGTAATCAATTGAAATGTACATTTAACAATTGTTGATAGAAGTGCTTTTGTAACGATTGTCTTTATTTGTTCCCAAAAAAGAATCTAGAAGAAAATAACTGGATTATCTGATTCCCTGATATGTCAAACGTATATAACATCGAAGATGTCTTTGAGACAGTTGGTTAGAATGAGGCTTGTAATTTATTTAATATGGCGTGGAATTTCAGTTTAATGAGATATTTGGCTTGATTATAATGTGAATCGATCGGTGGTTCCGCTCGTAGCGATTGTTAATGAATATGTCACAAAGCGTCCGCTCAAGAGTTAGTTGATTATTTCATTTGATAATTTCCGGAATCGTTGCCTTATTGTCGAAACACAATTTCGGTTACTTCTGTACATACTCTTCTAACTCGTGTTCACCAATCGGTACTGCACATTGTAGTTGTAGCGGTTGTGGCTTCAGTAGACCGGAAAAAAGTCTTTTAAAGGCCATATGCTATTTTAGAGCCGACTTTTTGTTCATGAGAGACATTTGCTTAGCCTTAACCTCAGCCAGAGTATGTATGCCCTGTTCTTCAAACTTTTTCCACTGAGAGTAGTTTATTTGCATGTAGGTGATTAATTCAGGCATATCGATGAAACCTAAACAGGGAGAAAATCGGACATTATAAGAAGTCATATCTTTGATTTCACTAATATTTTGGTTTGGACACTAATAGACTAGCTTTGCTATAAATATAGAGGCTTCGAAACTTACTGTCCCAGGCATGCATCATGTCTTGTATTATATATTCGATAAAACCAATTTGACTTTTAGGTATACTGCAGGTGCCCCGATCAAACATGGGCATGACAATTGGAAGATTTTTAGCTTTTTCTTCGTCTGTTTGCGTGAAGTACTCTTCAGCGATACGTCGTGACCACTCTATGCAGCAAATCATTGGTCTGGCCGGATTACTGACGTCTGCCACCTTAATAAGCATGCGGCGCATAAGTACCGAGCTTTCTTCTTCGCTTTGGACAATCTGAAAGATGAATAAATTTTTGTATGTAGATACAAATAATCACAACCATTTTGGATATCTTATGACGAAATTGAATTGACATAAAATTGACCAAATGACTTGTAAATTGTATAAAATATCATTTATAATTGAAGTACTTATAAAATTAATTACAATCAATATATATAAAAGAAAGTTGTGTTAGTTACTGCACTTATAATTTAAGAACCGCTGGACTGATTTTAACGATTCATACAAATTCGGAATTGTCTCCTGTCAGAAAAGGATAATATAGAAACAAATCGCGTAAAAATGTGATATATTAACATTTTCATTTTGACTTTTGAAATGTACAATAGTAATGTTTTATTTTGCATGATTTTTTTCCATTTTGACTTACTTTTTTCTAATGTACATTTGTAGTGTTTTTTATATTTTATTTTTGAATTCGAATATTAATATCAATTTATTTAATTGACTTGATTTCTTGAGAACTGAAATTGATGGCGGGTTACACGGAAGTGTAGTACCGAATTATGTGGTGGAGAAACGTGATAGATGATATCGAAATAATTTTACGCGGTCACACCAAAGTTAAAAGATAATTATTTTTCAAAATCGCTAAAAAATCACGAAAAAGAGAACTCATTGCAAAAACTCTTAAAATGGGGAAAAAATCGAAAAAAACTTTTACCAAAAAAAATGAAATAAGTGCGAAATAGGATGTTAACTGACATCTACCTTTCAACTCCAGGGCCTACATCATGGTTCAGCTGGAAGATGCGAACACATTTTAACAAACAAAAGTGACCGAAAAAGCCTCATGGGGCTCATTTCAAAGCGTGGACCTACTTCTTTCATGTTACAATAATCCATCCAAAGAGATCAGTAAAATACCACATATTAAGGGTGCAAAATAGTAGAGCGAATGGGACTTTTAGTAAAAAAAGGATTTTTATCCTTCCAGAAATTCTTCCCAAACATTGAAGATACCTTAAATCGCTTCTGCAGGTCATGATATCGCTCATAACCCACGGATAAGGATACAACTCGATTTCATATTTATGTTACCATCGTATGATTTAAGTTATTTTTGGGGTCTTGGTCACTTTTTTCATTTTTTAGCCCTTATTTGGCATCTTTGTTTCTAAGGGGGTAGAGAAAATTTGATTCATCAATTGATTTGGCTAAAAAATTGTGTTTATGCTACCCTGGGGTAGGGAACCATCATACAGATAACTGCCACATAGGAATTTATTTAAGTAAAGTCCCCACATTGGAGTATCCTCAAGTCCACTTTCACATCTAATATGTGGTTAGAAAAGAAAATTTTGTGTTCTATTGGATTTGTAACCCCCAAGCGAATATTGGTTGGGAACGTAGATTTGGGATGTACGTCTATATGAATATAGACTTTATGGGGTCTCCAACTTACAATTTAAATGGCAAATAAAATTAATTCCCATCTTACGGTAATGGGTGTAAAATAGTAATTATATTTGGCTATTCTGAAATCATCCTGCCTTCAATTATGAGGTGGATAAAACTATTTTTCCTTATTTAAATCACCCGAATTTTTTCAGTTTGACATGCAATGTTGTTCTGCTATATTTATACCCTACAACACTATGTGTTAAGGGTATTATAAGTTTGATTGGGCCAAAAATTATGTAACACCTCCCACATAGGAAAGTTTATATGGATCTTCCTATCTCGCCGAGCTGAGTCGATCTAGCTATGTATGTCCGTCCGTCTGTCCATGTTAATTTGTAATCACTCTACAGGTCGTAATTATGGCCCGATCTTCACGAAATTTAGAATGGAGGTGGGGCTAGGGTCAGAATAGAACCATATTTCTTTTGGAGATGATCGCATAATATTTAGGGGTTGAAATGGACCAAAAACTGAAAAATTTCATGATTTTGCAGCTGCTCTACAGGTCGCAATGATAGACCAACCGAAGCGGAAGTTAGCATGGGGCTAGAGCTTAGGGGTGGGCAGAAGCCTTCCAATTTTGGTGGTCATCGGGTAATATTAAGTGGGTGAAATAGACCATAACATTTGTGTTATATAAAAGTCAAATTTTCTATTAAACAACGAATATTTTAAATACCGACGAAATCACAAATAGACGAACAAGTCAATTCTGACCGTTACGTAGATGCCGATAGTAAATATATCGGATGCATATAGCGAAATATATAAAATGTATATATAGAAAGGAAGGGAATGTTAGCTAAAATGCTTATATCTCAAGAATGACTAGACCGATTTCGACAAATTTTGTCAATTCAGAATGCCCTCTTGACATAAAAGTATAAAATCTAAAAAAAATCGCGTAAAAAGATGTTAATTATGATGTTAATATAGATTTTGTAGTATTTTGTGACATTTTTTTATATTTTCATATTTTTTATCGCATGCGATTTTTTCAATTTGACTTATAATATTGAAATGTACATTTTTAATATTTTTTCACTTTACAACACAGGTTGGGGTTATTATATACAGATTGCAATTATCCTCACGAAAAAGTGTAGGGTTAGGCTCAGAATGGCTAGACCTATTGTTTTCAAAGATGTCCGCAATATATTTAGGGGTTGAAATTTACCAACAACTAAAAATGATCCTGATTTTGCAGCCCTTATAAAGGTCACAAATAGAAACCAAAGGACACGAAATCTGGCATGAAGTTAGAGTTTAGGAAAGCGGGTAGAATGGACCACTACTTTTGTGTGTAAAAATACCAACATTTCTTACAGTTGATATCCAAAATACACAAAATGTGAACTTCTGGCTTAAATATTGGGCAAATGTCGCTGGTCAAAACGCTAAGGGTAATATCTGGGCAGTGCTCCATGACATAATTTCAAAAGCGAAATATTCCAAAATGGATTCGGACATAAGGGGGCTTCTAACATATTGTAGTGTTGTAGGGTATCACATGGTCGGCCCCGCACGACTATAGCCTTTGCTTACTTGTTTTGATTTGGCCTCTATTTGTCGTCTGGGATTATAAGGGGTAGAAGAAAGTTTTCAATGTAGGTCGATTTTTCGGAGTAACGCCCATATAAAGGTATATCCTAAATTTACCATATTTCAAAGGATTTGGCTAAAAATGTGTATTTGTGGGGGCGGTTGAAAATCTTAGACAAAAATTGTAACATGTCTACAAATTTTAGAATTTTTTCCATGTAATAGAACGCCTTCCAGTCCACCTTTTGGCGTACAAACAGACCAACATATTTATTGAGACTTATGACGATGCACAATCTAAGGTGTTAATGTGTTTAAAAGATTAATTAACTTTGGCTATTCTGAAATCATTCAGTCCTCAATTTTGAGGTGTACAAAATACAGTAAATTCCAAATAACTGCTCATTTAAATGGAAAATTTTGCTACGATTATTACCATACTAAAAATTAATTTGATCCCTTACATGGGGATAAGATTGGTATATATACTTTTTAATAGATTTGTATAGCACATCCACATATAAATATGGGTACATGTATTTTAAAACACTTTTAATTTGACAAATATGCATAATAGATAAAAACTACGGGTCGCAAACTCGGACCGAGCCAGCTAGTATTTAATAAAATAAAATGATAATTAATGACATAAGTAGTGTGCTTATGGGGATGTTGGGAATTCACCACGATTTATCACGGCAAATTCTATTGGGGATGTTGATTTGGGTAAATTCACCACGGTGAATTTTAATGGGGATGTTGTCTTGGGAATTGTACCACGGCAAATTCTATTGGGGATGTTGATTAGGTTAAATTCTCCACGGTGAAATATATTGGGGATGTTGTCTTTTGAAATGTACCACGGTGAAATATATTGGGGATGTTGTCTTTTGAAATGTACCACGGTGAATTATATTGGGGATGTTGTCGTTTGAATTGTACCACGGCAAATTATATTGGGGATGTTGTCTTTTGAATTGTACCACGTCAAATTTTATTGGGGCTGTTGGCGTTGGCGTTGCTAGTTTTAATATGAACTACTAGATGGCGCTAAGTTTAGCGCAGACACAATCCAAAACTGTGTATGGGATGGTGACATTTCAAGTTTTAATATTCACCACTAGCAGAGACACCCTCCGAAAAAAAAAAAAAAAAAAAATGTATTATGATCATATCGAGTGGGGGCTAAAGAGATTCACCATGTGAGAAGTGAATATAGCAGAAACACATCTGAAAGAGGTAAGTATCGAAGAAAATCATTTTATCTAGATGGCTCTCAGAATGCTTTTATATAGTCAACATGCTGATTACTGCAGTCAAATGTGCTTATTAATTTATTTGAAAACATATATTTCAAGAAATCGACTTCAATAAATGTGATATATTATAGAAGAGTTTCAATTGACAAATATGCTGCAATTATTGATATTTCAGGGGTTTTAAGAAAAACGATAACGAAGTCGAGTGGGTTGAACACGAAAATCAGCATGTTGGCTATGCAAAACATGATGAGATAAAAAGACAAAACTAACTTTTCGTTGTACTTGTTTTAATTTGTCTATAATTTTAGCGACTCAAAAATGTTCAGTTATTCCCATCGAAACGATATAGGCGACATCTAACGGTGAGTTCCATCCATACTATCCATAAATTATGTTGTAGCATAGACACACTCCAAAACTATTGAAATATGATCATATCGAATGGGGCTAGAGAGATCCACCATATGAGAAGTGAATATAGCAGAGACAAATTTGGTTAGTATCATAGTCAACAAGAAGATGTGTGTTCTATTATTTTGTCCAGATGGCTCTCCAGTCATTTCCCTCGAAACGATATAGGCGACATCTAACCACCAATTAATGTTGTAGCATATACACACTAAAAAAATGCTGCTGTAGCCAATCAAAGCAAATTCTTCTTGTGTGGACAGGCATTTTGATACATTATATCGATCGCTTTTTGATAGTTTTGTCGATGAAGAATTTGTTTACATTATGTAGCAATTTGAGAGAATTGAAACTGAAAGAGTTTCATGACAAACCCTGCATCAATTCGGTATTGAAGATTGAAGGGATTTGAAGAAGGAAACACCATTGTTTACATTAACTAACAATTGGATTTCTGTGAAATGGATATGAGAATTTGGGGGGAAGCGTTGTTGCAGAGTTTCATTACAAATTCTGCTTCAATCACAGAATTTCTATTTGTTTACAAAATGTAGTCAATAATGTATTGATTGGATTGGAAGAAATTTCAGTACTCAACAAGTCACAGATTAATAAGCATCGTTTCTTAATATTTTTAAAAAAGTTTTTATAATGTCTCAAAAAATTTGTTGGTCATGCAGCCTTTATTACAAGGAAAAAAGTGAATTTGTGAAACATATGAAAAAGCATTGTATGTTTTGTGATGTTTTATGTGAAAGTGTAAACGATTTAGAATTGCACTTAGAGAACCATCATGGAGATGAGCATGTAATGAAACAAAATCGTGATCAACAACAAGAAAAACTAAAGCAGCAGCATGAAAATAAATCAGCTGTGAAGGTGGAAAAGTTTTGTGGTGATTGTGATAAAATAGTGAATAATATACGATCACACGTTCGTAGCGAAGAACATCGATCCACCGTGAGAAAAAATCTGGATTCTGACATAAAAATTGTTAAAAGTGCATTTAACAAAAATATACTCAGCTATGAGATACAAAACAATAAAGACATTTTGTACCCGTTCGATTTTCTTAATGCTTCAAAAGAATTAATAATTAAAACCTTGAAAAATGAGTTAAACGGTAAAACGCTCATAAAATTTAATATGGAACTCCAAGGACTATATGTGAAACCAAACAATGAAAAAGATGGACCTTCAACTTCCAAAGAGTTAACTATTGAAAATATATTTAATCATATTTCAAAAACAACGCTATTAACCCTGGGAGATGATTTGGAAGAGGTCGTTTTCAACCACTGTGTGGAAATTATAGCTAAATCAGAAGAGTTCCAAGAAAGAGGCTCTAATTGGGCCCTGGAGAAACTTTTAAAACTTGACATAAATGTGTTGAGAGCCAACTTAACACGTGGCTCACATTATATTCCAACTCCGAAATCATTAAGCAACAAGAAGGGTGCGTGCCTTAACATCAAAAACTATGATGACTTTTGTTTTAAGTGGTGTATGGTTGTTGCATTGGGAGAAACTGCATATGGAGATCCGAGTATAACCTCTTCATATAACGTAGACATACACCAAGATGTCATTATTCTGCAGTCTGGAATATCGCTAAATTTCGAACAATTAAATTTCCCATTGGGTCTTAAATATATAAAAAAATTTGAAATGAACAACCCTGAGATCAGCGTAAATGTTTTCGGTTATGAAAACAAGTCGGTCGTTGGTCCATATTACTTAACAAAGGAGACGAAAAGCAATCACATTAATTTAATATTGCTGCACAATGAAGAAAATTTTCATTACATTTTGGTTATGGATATGTCTTGGTAATTAAAAACAAAACTTATCAATCAAAACCATATCATAATAATCATGTATTTGTTCTTTTTTTTTCAGTCTTATGCGGTCTCAATTCACAAGTCATAAGGAGAAAGGTTATTTTTGTTTTGGATGCCTGCAATGTTTCCACGATGAAAATAAATGTATGACTCACAAAAAGCAGTGTGGAAAAGTAGTCTGTGCCCTGCCGAACAAAAAAGAAGCCGTACTGAAGTTCGTCAATCACAAGAAAAAGGATAAGGTGCCTTTCGTTATTTATGCTGACTCCGAAAGTGTACTGGAAGACGTGCAGGAAGATGAGAACAATGGGGCGAGTAAAAAAACGGAAAAGGTAAAGAAGCATATTCCATGTGCTTTTAGTTATTTTATTAAATGTAGTTTTAGTGAAAATTTAAATAAGTTATTTATATATAGTGGACCCGACGCAGCAAATGTTTTTCTGAAAGAACTAATTCAGGATTGTAAATTTTTGTATGATAGTTACCTAACCAAAACGAAACCTATGAATACTCTAACACCCGAAGAAGAGACAGCCTTTCTTAGGGATATAAATTGTCGTATATGTGGCGATATTTTAGGTAACGATAGGGTGAAAGATCATTGTCACTTAACGGGGCAATATCGAGGTGCGGTACATAACCATTGCAATCTGCAATATCATCTACCTAAATTTATTCCAATATATTTCCACAATTTTTCTTCGTACGACTGTCACCTCTTCTTTAAAGAATTAGTTGAATTTGGAGGTGAAATAAGAGTCATACCTCAAAACAAAGAAAAATATATTTCAATGTCTTATTTCATTAATATGGATAACGAGTCAACCGACTCTAGTTCTTTAAAAAGTACAGTTGTTGTAGGAGAAGAAGAAGATTCGAGTGAGGAAGATGATGAGGAATTCCAGCAAGAAGAGGAAAGTGAGGGCAAAAAAGAGAAGAAAAAGAAAATGAATAGATTAGAGCATCGTTTCTTAGATAGTTTTCGATTTATGCCTACTAGTTTGGATAAATTAGCAAGGAATTTATCTCGAGATTCTTTTGTTGCTGTCAGATCTCATTTTCCTGATGATGAAGCATTCGAACTTATGACTAGGAAAGGAGTATTTCCCTACGAATATATTTCATCATTTGAAAAATTGAAGGAGAAACAACTTCCCCCTATAGACCAATTTTATAATAAGTTGACAGATACTGAATGCTCGTCAGACGATTATAGGCATGCAACAAATGTTTGGTCACATTTTCGATGTCAAACTATGCAAGACTACATGGATTTGTATTTAAAAGCTGATGTCTTGCTTTTAGCAGACGTATTTGAAAATTTCAGGAGCTTATGTATGCGAATTCACGAACTGGACCCTTGTCAATATCTCACAGCACCATCTCTATCTTGGGATGCAATGCTACTATGTACTAAAGTCGAACTTGAGCTACTCAGAGATATAGACATGTACAATTTCTGCAAAAATGGTATTCGGGGAGGGCTTACCCAGTGCTCAAACAGACACTCGGTAGCAAATAATGAAGATGCTCCCAATTATAATAGTGCCAAACCAGAGGTAAATATCTATTATTTGGATGTAAATAATTTATATGGTACAGTTATGACTGAGTGTCTCCCTGAAAAAGATTTTAGATGGGTGGAGGGTTATGAAATGGAGAAATTCAATGATCCAGCTGTAATATTATCTATTCCTGACAACGCTCCTACTGGTTTTATTTTAGAGGTTGATATTGAATATCCACCGCACCTTCACGACAAACATAACGATTTACCTTTTTTGGCGGAGAAAAAGTGTGTTGAGGGCTCAAAAACTGAAAAACTGATTGCAGATTTTACTGACAAAACATCATACACCATACACTACAAATTACTTAAGCAATCTCTGAAACATGGACTAATTCTTAAGAAAGTCCATAGAGTTTTGGCTTTCACACAAAGCGCTTGGTTAGCTCCTTACATACTGAAGAATAATGAACATAGGGAAAAGGCTGAAAATGCCTTTGAAAAAGATTTTTTTAAATTATTGAATAACTCTTCATTCGGTAAGACAATGGAGAATATCGACAAAAGAAAAACTGTGAAAATTGTGACAATGTGGGTAGATGAGGCAAACCAAAGAAGAAGGAATGTTGCTAGTAAATTAATCTCGAAGCCAAATTTTCACAGCCTTTCGATATTCTCCGAAAATATGGTTGCTATTCAAATTAGGAATGTCAGAGTAAAATATGATAGACCATTGTACTTAGGGTTCTGCATATTAGATTTATCAAAGTGGGTGATGTATGATTTTCTGTATGATTTTCTAAAAGTGAAATTTGGTGAGGATTTTATTCTAAATTATATGGATACAGATTCGTTCATATTAACATTTTACGGACGGAATTTGTATTCCGAATTATCTTTAGATGAAATATTGGCTAGATTTGACACCTCAGGGTTTTCAAAAGAAAATAAATATAAACTTCCTCTAATTAATAAGAAAAAACTTGGCATGATGAAAGATGAGAATGACGGAAAAACAATGGTTGAATTTGTAGGCCTTCGTCCTAAAATGTATGCCATCAATGTAGTTGATAGCGAAGAAGTAAAAAAATCTAAGGGAGTTAAAAAGTCGGTCCTAAAAAAGTATACTATAGATAAATATCGAGAATGTCTTTATAACAAAAAGGTTTTTTACGGTACCATGTTTTCGTTTAGGTCAAGACAGCATACAATATATACAGACAAAATTACTAAAATATCGCTAAGCCATCAAGATGATAAACGATTTATTCTAGAGGATGGTATTCACACCTATGCTTGGGGCCACTATAGATTAAATAACCTTCATGAAACAAATGTAAATAACTCAAATGAATCTGTCTCAATGGACTTGGATTAAAATATAAATTTAATTATGATTTAAGTTTCAATATATAGATAAAAGAGCATAGTAATAATATTAATTTAATTGTCTTTACTCACTATAAATGTCATCATATTAATATTTTCTCGCAACACAAAATGTTTAATTTTTAAGTAAATATAAGGGTATTATATTTTAACTAGTCTTTAACTATTCTTATTATAAAATAAAACAAAATATTTTTGTTTATAAATTTATGTAAATTGCGTTTTATTGAAATATTCTTGCAAAGGTGAGTATAAAATAGATTATACTACTTTTCGTACAATTCCTGTTAATGGAACGTACTCGACCAGACGATCATGTATAATTAAACAGTACGCAGAAGTGTTTTGTGGAATTGGTTTATTGGTTTCAAATTGGATTTTTAAATCGATTGGTCCATTCTTAACAGCTTCGTTTTGATTGCTAATGTCAATAACGGCGATGGGCTTGTCTTTAAAACTTGCATATGTAAGAAGTGGTTGTGGCTCCCTCATGTAATATGATTGTTGAAACTTTGTATACATGTCATATAGTACTGCATAGCCATTTTCTTCGAACTTTACATTCAAATCATCGTAAGGATAGGTTTCAGAGTTCAAGTGAACTTTGATGTTTTTAAGTTCGCAATGTTCCAGCTTGTTGTCTTTTTCAAATATCAAAGCAACATATCGTGGTCTTTCATGATTGACAGACAATTTAACACTCCAACTGTGTTGTCTTCCACCAGCAAAAGTTGGATTAAAGTAGCAGTCCCAGCTGCGGAATGCTAAAGGCAACGCTTTTCCATCCTTAATAGTTTTCAAGAAGCTGATTTTTCTATAGTCTGATAATTGAATGTGTTGTACTTTCCATACAACATTTGTTATGGTGAGTTTAATTTCCTCCGTATCCATGGTTGAATAACACACATTTTTATCGTTGGCACTACGCAAAAGAATCAAGTCATGCTTGCTGTTGCAAATTACTTTATCAAAGTCCTCTGCGAACCCTAGTAGACGGTTTAAGGGTACACAAAAATTAAAGTATCCTACTGATAAATCATTATCAGCTTTCCATCCCGCTTTGCTCATAACCTTACTTTCGGATTCGCTTAGAGAAATCCAATTTTTAATTTCTGTAGTTATTCCTAGATAACGAGTACGATCAATTTCAACACCATTTAGTTCATAGCGAATTTCATCAAACATGTATCCCACACAATTATTTCTCAGTCTTGCATTTTGCGATACTTCTCCCTTGCTATTTTTCAAATTTCCTTCAATGAATAGATAACTCTCCGATGGAAGTATGTAAAGATCCTGATTTTGTATACTTATCCGAATTTCATCATTATTTTTAAATGATTGAATATATGGAACATAGCTGTGGTAGTCTCTCTTTACAATATTCTCATCCGAGAATGGACGCTCATTAATGTTAAGTATTTCAGACATTTGGTTTGACTTTAAGCTTAATAAGTTTTAAAAACTCTTTATTTTCCTTTGAAATTGTAGGTCTTGTCGGTTTGACAACTTTGTGTTGAATGTGTCTTGGTATTTGTTTATGATTGTATTTATTGTAGATAATCATGATTGCATTGGTCTTATATGAATACGTAGCGTGATTTCTTCCTCTCTAAAATTTATAAAGCGACCTTCTTGATCTACTATCTTTATCTCCAGACGACCGATTTCTTTGACGTTCACTGGTAAATAAATGAGATTCATTGGTCTCTCTACCAATTTATATCCCGGAGGAACATTAAGAGCAAATTCATGTAGAATATGCGTTGGCGACCCATTCATGAATGATCCAGTTACAATATTGCAGTGTATTTGTATGGCATTAACCTTTAAAATGTCGACTTGAAGGTTTGAAGTATGTTTTTTCCCAGATTCTAAGATTTTTTCGGTAAAACCAAAAAGCTTGCCTATAGATTTTTCTTTATCAAAGTAAATAGGATCATGAGAAGACATGATTTCTACTTTTAGCGTATTATTATTCGCCTTAATTTCAATGGATCTATTCTCGTGGATAGTTTTATATTCCGTTTCCAAGTAATTCGCAATATCTTGCAATTCATAGGATCCTATAGGTATTTTTATAATATTGTCTCCAATGTGAAAGAGATTGTTATCATTATCCACATTGGGTATTGAATTGTATGATTGGAAATCTATTAGGCAACACTCATAACTACTATTTCCCAATTCAATTGGGGGTAAATATGTTGAATGTAGAATTGGAGATTTACCGGACACAGTAAACGTTCTTGACATTGCAAAATTCTTTGTCGTAATAATTGAAACACAAAATATGCATACGTATATATGGGTTTTTATTTATTTAAATATATGCTTGTATATTGTATATCTACATATTAAGATTATATGATATGATTCTTATCTATCCATGAATTATGTTTGTCTGAGAATCCCAGCCACTTAACCAAGACTTTATTACCTTTTGTTTTTAAAATTTTCTCAACTAAATACGTGTTGGGATATTTTGTGGGTAAAAGTTCTTCTTTGTAGAAACATCCTTGGATGGGATTTCCTTCATAGTCTTCTAATAAATAAGTAGCGGGGTTTGTTATTCTTATTGTTCTTATCTTGAATATTTCCGTAGTCCAATTTGGCGTGTATCCCTTTTCAAATTGATGTTTATATTTGCTAATGCGTACATGATCACCCACACGAAAGTTTTGTCTCCTAAAAATTTTTAAGTGGTTATAAGCAGATTGCAACAATGCCTTCTCATTCGATGAATTTACTTGAATAGGGGCCATTTTTATTGTTCGATGAGGTGTTTTATTGTATTGTTTAACCAATTCTCTATAAACATCAATCCATAGATAATTCCCATTATAACTGAACTCCTTCCACATTAGCGACTTCAAAGTTCTATTAAAACGCTCAACAATTGAGGCCTTCAATACACTATATGTGGAGTAGTGGTTTATGGAATATTTCTGCATTAGTTTTTTAAAATCTGTGTTGAAAAATTCTTTTCCATCATCGGTTTGCAAATTTTTTGGAATTCTTCCTCTTTGTAAGATTTTTTCAAAAGCCATAGAAACATCCGTTGCCGTTTTTGTTTTAAGGGCTTCACACCATGCGAATTTCGAAAATGTATCGATGACAGTTAACAAAAATCGGAACCCCTTGTTTGCTTTTGAGTAACTGCCCATTTCAACTAAATCTGCTTGCCAGAGATCATCAATACCCTTTGTAATAACCCTTCGTCTTGGAAAGTTTTTTCGTGCTTGATGATGAAGTTCATTTACCAAACCCCGCTTTTCCATTGTTTTATTCGGTATGATATATTAAAGCTGGTGAGTTGAATGGAGCTTGCGATAAGGCTTTAAATATTTCGTTTTGTGAACGTTTGAGTTGTGATATTTCTTCTCTTAGGAAGGTGCACTCTTGAATGAAATTTTTCTTTAAAATTTCTTGAATGTGCTTGATTTGCGTATGTACGTATGCTTGGTTGACCGCATCCGCTCCTTCTGCTGGAGATGCAACATTCCTAATCTTTTTATTTTGCACGTTAAGGTTGTTATCTTCATCAATATTGACTCCCAATAATCTCGAAACATTTTCTCTCACTGTTATTGATTGATTTTTTTGATTGTAATGATGTCCAAACTTGTCAACAGTCATATGTTGTATGCTCCTTGAGAGTATTATTTAATATATTATATTTCCTTCTCGCAGTTCCTCGATAATAGAAACAATTTCATTAGTATGGTTATTGTTTCCGGCTTGTTGTGATGCCAACAACAGCTTTAATCGTTCTATCAATTCGTTGGGATCGTCCCAGTATATATAGTTGGGTTTACCAGGATTTATTGTCAGTAAGCCTTTGCCGCTGTGAGTATCCTCTATTATATTTTTTATTATTTTCTTATATTTTTGTCCCCTGTTGGACTTTGTTCGTCCATTAGATTCATAGTTTATTTTATGCGCATTTGTGTCTAATAATATTGTTTTGTAAATATCGAGTTCTGTATGATCATAGTTCTTGGGGTCTTGATAAAACAACAGTTCAAACAAACCGGGTGTTAATGCCCAATTTTTATTTCCAATCATAATCTTTTCATTGCTTATTTTGAGTGGTTGGTCCCCAAATCTCCATTCTCCATTGTTATCTTTGTGTGGACCATAGACTACATCTAGTTTTTTAATTTTCTTCAAGAATGATAGATTCATAGGTTCCTCATTGTTGGAATAAAATTTGTCGTCGTCTTGTGATGTATTAAAGGAATCGAAATTTTGTGTGTAATCTACTTTATGCTTTAACCCCTCCAATGCATTGGAATCTAACTTAACATCTGGTTTATAATTCTTAAGGGGTGTACTTGTAATAATAGAATCTCTGTACATTTCCATTTTCTCTTTCTTAGGCATAATCATTTTGGAAGTATTTTCAGTTGAAAGCTTTAGTAGTTTGTTTATTGGCTCCGTTATTGGTTTGAAAGTATTTTTCAATTCTGTAGTTTTAGCTTCTTCACCCATTTTAATGCTTTGAAATTTCTTTTTCAAGACATTTCTGGACTTAACAAGCCGTTTCAGCATTTCCTCCTCCATGGCTGTAGGTGCACTAATATAAATTAACATTTGCAAATACATTAAATAATATTAAGGTTGAATAAATATATGAAAGCCTTTTCTGTATCTTCCAGAGTGAATTTCGTCATCCTTGGAAATCGTTAGAAATCCATACTTTTCCTTCCAGCATTCATGACAAATTTTTTTGAAATCTTCAAAACTAATGTCACATCCGACGTGATCATTAAATATATGTCTTAAATTCAGATCATCTTGTTTAAACACGATTATAAAATTCGCATTATCACGCAATAAATGTTTTGGTATACGTGTGTATGTTTGACACAAATAAAACGAATCAACATTCTTATGTCGCCCCATACTGAAGTAATTTTTAATGTTGTTTTGTTTATCGCATGCAACATCATCAAAAATCATGATTGAGTTTGGCTTTATTTCGTCCATTTGTATAACATCGTCATTGTTATTAAATGTATACAATCTCATCCCCTTTATAGTGGATATCAGTTTCTTTAGGTACTCATATTTTGTCTGATACAGCGATTTTGAGTAAATGT